TTAAATTGTTTTAAAAAGCACATTCTCTGGCTAGTGTTACGCCCTTCAACTTGGGGAGGATGCACCTTGTGCTTGAGTCGCCTTTGGGATCCCATGCAAATAAACCTATCTGCAAACATGCCATCTTCTTTCTACCGATCTGCCTTCCCTCACCTCATTCTCCCATCCTCTGCTATGTTTAGCCCTCCTTCCCCTTTTCTTTGCTGTTGTTTTTAAGATATTCATCCATCAGCTTAGGAACTGAAGACAGCTGAATCTCAATGAGCCTGTCAAAATCCTAGGTGTATTTTTGTTGTTGTTGTTTTCTAAGTCCTGCTCACAGCGGAATGCTGGGTGAATGACAGCTTTTTGCATCTAGGAGATGATGCCTGGGCAGAGTGGCTAGAAATGGACCCATCTCCGTGCACGACTGTGAAAGACGCGCCCGTAATTCCACCTGAACAGTTATGGGCAAGAGCTTTGTGCTAGGATCTGCCTGGTTATCCATCCGAAGCTGCGGTGGCTCAGTAGCTTCTGGAATTAAGTTGGGAACAGCTCTAGTAAGAAGGGAAGGAGATAAATGGGAGATGGTGGAAAGATCTTCTCTAATCTTTTGTGGCCGTGTAGGCTTTGTAAAAGCAGACTGGGAAAGAAAAGCAAACAAAGAGAACGGGGAACCTGACTGGCCCTTGTAAGAGGAAAAGTCTAGTTTGTAAGATAATTCAAGGAATTAACAAAGCCCACGCACGCTATGGTGCCTGGTATGATGCCTGGTGGAATGAGTGAATGTATGAATGTGTAGTGAAGAGGCCGTGTTTGATGTCTGCGGTTGAATCTGAAATACCTGAAAAGAGTTATTCAGTTGGGCTGTGGTTAGGAGGATAAATACGAATCACAACCAACTTCCTAAAGCACTTTGGTTTACCAGGCACACAAGGCTGCACGACCACAAGGGAGCCTCTGAGTGGGTTCCGAGGTCCCCAGCTCGCAGATGAGAAGCCCAAGCCTCCCTGAGCTTGGGGAAGCTTTCTAAAAAAGGCACAGAATTTAAAAGCAACAAAGCCAGGTCTTGAAGGTAGAGCTTCCAACACAAACATCTCGTATGCTTTTTCTGGGGATTTTCAAAGTAAAACACAGCGAGGAAGCTGATATTTGAACTAAATAGTCACTTTTTTTTCCTAATGTGATACAAAAAGCTAACCTTTTCAGATAGTAAAGAGATACAGGAAACGCTGCTAGGTAGCTGGATTACACCTGGGGAAAGTAAAATACTCGTTCTTTCTGACCGAAGGGCTTGGGAGACCTTAGCAAACCCCAGTCAGTCACATAACCTCCTTTTTCCAATGGGTAAATCTCATTTCCTGATAGAGCAAGTAGCAGAAAAATGCAAGAGGAGAAAGATTAAGATTTACTAAGTACTTATTTTGTACCCTCAATCAGGCTAGGCTCATTAAACAAGTTCCAACATTAATTGCTAATCCTCACATACTAGGTTTGTTATGTCTTTTGTTTTTTGTTTTTTTTTTTTTGAGACAGAGTCTCAGTCTGTTGCCCAGTTAGAATGCAGTGGCGTGATCTTGGCTCACTGCAACCTCTGCCTCCTGGGTTCAAGCAATTCTCTGCCTCAGCCTCCCGAGTAGCTGGGATTACAGGCACCCACCACCATGCCCAGCTAACTTTTTGTATTTTTAGTAGAGATGGGGTTTCACCATCTTGGTCAGGCTGGTCTTGAACTCCTGACCTCGTGATCCACCCACCTCGTGACCTCCCAAAGTGCTGGGATTACAGGCGTGAGCCACCGCGCCTGGCCTTGTCCTATCTTAAAAACGGAGAGAACTGAGGTTCAAGGAGTGAAGCGACTTGGCCAAGTGCATACGAAGACGAAATGTACTGCAGCTGTAACCCAGATCTGCCTGGGTTCTTAACATCAAGCTGAAGGCATACGACAGGAGGCTCTTGCTGGAGATATCCTTTTTGGAGGCTTCAGATGTGTTGGGATTTAGGGTGGCAGGTTCTCTCCAGTGGTGTCCTCAGTTTCCATGAGAACATGTCGGGATGTCTGGATGACTCATTCACTATGTGGCACAATCCTTGGTTTTAAAGTGACACATCCCCATCGTGAAAGCCAATGCATTTTCATGTTGCCTAAGTGCTTTCATCATAATCACTCAGTGTCACTGGCTTGTTTAAATGAACACATCACTTCAACAGGGCTTTCCCCTTTCTGCTCTGCCCTTTCAGTACCAGCGAGGAGGGAAGTAACTCACTGCTTTGGCATATCAAGCGGGAACTGGAGGTGGTTTATGTGCTCCTGTGTCTCCTGATGCTACATTCTATAGCAAATAGGGACGGGCAGGAGGAGACATGCCATTTTGGTCGTAATAAATTCCCCAGTGTGCTACATTCTTCTTTTCCCTGCAAACCGGGATTGATGACCAGTGGCTTTTGTTTTACACAGGTAACCATGATCTTGATGCAGCATCCCTGAGGCACTGCAGTATATTTCTATGTGACATTTTCTATTATATATTTTGGAAGAGAGAAACGAAATGTATACACCAGGGTTTTCCTGAGACTTCCTTTCTCCCACCCAGAAGCATGGGTGTCTTCACTTCCATAAAAGTTTGGAGGGAACGTGTCTGAAAATCCAGACACAAAAGATCAACATGGGGTGACTAGTCGCTTGCCAGAGGAAAGCACGTGGAGTCCCCATCCCTGGCCTGCTGTGGGTTCATGGAGGGTCCAGTCTCCAAGGCTCTGAGAAAACAGTGTCTGGGAGAGCTTGCTGGGACAGGAAACGGAGTGCCATGTTTGATAATCAGAGCAGGCCCTTGGATATTTCTGCCCCAGAAACATCCTAGAGGCTTCCTGTAGGGCAGAATCCCAGTCTCCTGCACAGAACCAGTCAATCAGACTCTTGAAGGGCAGAGCCCGGGAATCTCCATTGTTGGAAAGTGTTTAATCCTGAAGCCATTAAAGTTCAAGCAAGACAGGTTGGTAGTGAACACCACAGCCTCCTTGATTTTTCAGCATTGCAGCCTTCAATGCTCTAAGCTTCAGTTTCCTCTGGCATAGAATACAGATAAGCACGGCACCTGCCTCATGGGGTGAGTGTGAGGATCAAAGGAGACTGACACCCATAAAGCACCTAACATGGTGCCTGGCTAATACTCAGCTGATCTATAGAGGCACTGGCTTACCCATTATTGAAAAAGTGAAATACCTCCTGACCTGCTAAGAGAACCACTGCTCTGATGCCCTCAGCTGCCTTTCCCCAACCTGGCCCCTCTCAGGAACTCCTCAGACTTCCCCACCATCCAGCAACTAAAGGGTTAATGCCCAACACAGCATGGGAGACTCCAGGGTGGGGCTCTGGGGTCTGTGAAGGGCTGGCGGTTGACATTCTTCAACTGCAACCTCTGTTACCTGGTAGGCGTTACAGGAAAAAAAAAATTACATAGCACAAGGCATATCTAATACTCAGACAGATGTTAGCTAAGGAATATCTCCGTCTCTCAGGATGGCATTCAATAGAGGTCTCCCTGGCTGCCTGCCACCTCTGGACATTGATGCTGGACTTTCTTTCCTTGTCCTCCTCCAGCTTTGACCCCCATTCTGACCCCATCTATGAACTCTCACCTCTGCAAGCTTGACTCATGTCCCTTCTCCTTTGTTCTCTGGGCCCCCTGTGTTTGCATTAGACTCTTCTGGAGTCTGACCATCAGCTCTCAGAGTTTTGATCTCTTTTTGGCTGATCCCACTACAGACTGGCCTCAGCCTCCAGGGCAGGCTTCACCTATCACTTTTAGGTGGTACTGTCCCCAGAGCCAGATACCTGTCCCAGCCCACCTCATTTGCTGGTCTCAGATGCCAAGTTCCAGCGCTTCTTGGTCTCACCCACCCTACTGTTCCCTGAGTTCCACATTCTAGTCTGATAAAGATCAGGAGTCTGCATCCTTTGAGAATGGGATACCACAGCAGTGGCAATGAGGATGGAGGAGAGAGGCAGAAGGATCCAGAAGCATTTCAAAGATAGACACTGATGGGAATTGAGCCTCAGAAGGAAGAGGCTGCTCTAGTTTCACTGCTTATATACTCCATGAGGTCATGGACTGTGTCTGCCACAGCTAGCATAGGGCTTCGTACACAGTAAGCTTTGAAGAGATAGCTGGTGAACAAGAAGGGCTGATGGATGAATGAAGGACACCAATAACAGAGAAAGAAACTAAAAAGGAGGCGCAAGTTTGTGGCTAGTAACAAGGTAGAATAATGGATTTTATTTTAGACATATGGTTAGAGATCTGTAGTCCTCAAAAGAGCTGATTACCAAATATTTCTGCATTTTCTCCTGCCAGGCACATGTGGTCCTCAAAAGTGCTGATTAGCAAATATTTCTGCCTTTTCTCCTGCCAGGCACATGGTAGACTGCCCTTGCCCACACTCTATGAAGGGAGGCATGGCCACACAACATGCTTAGCCAATGAAATATGAAATTGTATCACTTCTAAACAAAAAACGTTAAGAGATAATATGACTTCTGCTACTTTCCCACCACATACATGGAAGTGTGCATGGAGATGAATCCTGAATACCTACAGTGAACCCAGATCCCTGAAGACCTCAAGTGGACGTGGAATGTGATTAGCAAAAATACATATCCGTTGTGTTAAGAAACTGAAAAGTTGGGGTTGTTACTGAAGAATGATCTCTGGTCCGTATTAACAGAGCCAGCGAACCTACAGGTCATACTGATAAAGATATCCAATAGGATTTGGATTAGAGGTCAGGAGAGGGGCTTTCTGGTGACAGATGCCACAGACTGCCATGGCCCAACAGCTACTCCACCTGTGGCTACAGCACCAAGAAGGAACTGGGAATGCCAACTGCCCACATACCATCCACTGCTGAATTCAAGCAATCAGGTGGCCTCCTGAGCTTTTGCAGTCTCCTCTCCTGAAAAAGGAGCACTGGGCCCTCACATCACTTTTTGCAACTCTGCCCATACCACCCTGAGAATTTACCTGTGTTGTAGCCCCTTCCAAGGGCTGGCCATGGGCGGTGATTTTTCCACAGGTTTCCAAGGTACCAGTCACTCTGGTTCTCCACCAAGCCCAGGACTTGCTGACCTGTAAAGTACAGAGAATACAAACATCTTAAAAGGAGAAGCCAAGCCATCTGGATCAGTGACTAATGAACACACAGTGTAATGACAAATCATCACAACAATAGTATTCACTTATTGAGAGGTTTTATGAAGTGCCAGTCTCTCACCTAAGAGCTTAACTTGCAATAACATATTTAATTCTCACCATTAGGCAGCTATTTTTATTATTTCCATTTTATAGAGAAGAAATGGAGGCCCAGAACAGTTAATTGATTTGCCCCAGGTCACCCAGTGAATCTGATAAAGCTAGAATCCCAAACCATGCATTCATTCACGCATGCATTTCTTTCCTAACTCATGGAGCACATATTTATTCACCACAATCTTAACCCTAATACCACTCGCCTCCCTAACTGAAAATAAACTACTCAAAGGAACCTGCCCTTGTAGTTATTCTCAAGCATTCCCATTCTGGTATTTCCCACTGCACATTCATTTACTGGTTTTCTGGGCAAGGACTGAGATCGGTTTCTCACATCAGGGAGGAGGGATTACCCTTGTTTGCTCAGACAAGAGCCCAAAGAGAAGATCCACTCTTTGTCCACCTTCTTACAGGGATTTTGTTCTCACCCTCACTGCTTCCTCTCAAATATATTTATCTTGTGTCAACAAGCATCATGTCAATATCATATCAATACAACAGTGTTGTCTAGATAACAGCTGCTCCTCTGTCCCCAGAGCTGGCGTTGATGTTGGCCTCAGTCTCTGCTGCATCTTAGCAACTTAGGCAGTTAGCCTTGTAGTCAGTCTCTTAGGGCATACATGTCTCTGGGCCTCCACATCAGATCCACAGACAACTCCATCACACAGAAGGTCTTCTCTTGCAATTATAACCAATACTACGTCACAGCCTAGGAAAAAGGCTCACAAAGGACCAGTGATGTGCACAGCTAAAGATGGAGCTAGGATACACATCTACATTTGTTTGAAACAAAGATTCCTCCCACTGTCTCGATACATTATTGCTTACCCTTACAAAAACAAGTATTTGAGGTAGCAATTATCAATCCACTTTTTGTAGAAAGGGAAATTGAGGTTTAGAGAGTTTAAATAACTTGCAGAAGTCACGCAGCTAACAATGACTGTCTTCCACAGCTAACCATTACCTTTTGAATTTACGCTGTGATATTGTTGGCCAATCTGAGAAATAAAGACCTTTCTGACCAAATGAAAGCCCAGCTGCACTTAAGAAAACACAGTGGTGGTTTCGGAACACCACGCTGGGTGATATAGAATCTCCTTCGTAGGATGACAGCTCCCTGAAACGATGGTGTGTGGGTTTGGGGTAGTTTATTTGATCAATTTTATTAAGCTCCTATCTAAATCACCACCCCGGGCACAAACACATAAATTAGAGGCATGGGGAAAACACTACCACCCACTTTGTCATTGTATATGATTACATCTAAAACTTGTAGAATTCCTCAGGAAAACATATCACCAATTCAGGGAGTATATGAATCAATCAATTCCACGTGCAACAAGCTTAGGACATTTGTGCAGAACAATTAGATCCGAAAGGCGTGGTGCCCTTAATAGGGAAAGCTGTGTGTCCTGTCCTGACGCTATGCTCCAGCTAGAGACCTCATTTAATAACCTCACAATGAGGATGGGACGCAAAGGGGAAGTGTCATTGTTGGGGGAGAGGGGTGATACATAACTACTAAAGCCCCAGGTGGGTATCCCAAGGGTTTTTTTTTTTGATACAGAGTCTCGCTCTGTTGCCAGGTTGGAGTGCAGTGGCACAATCTGGGCTCACTGCAACCTCCGCCTCCTGGCTTCAAGTAATTCCCCTGCCTCAGCCTCCCAAGTAGCTGGAACTACACGCGCGCACCACCACACCCGGCTGATTTTTTGTATTTTAGTAGAGACCGGGTTTCGCCACGTTGGCCACGATGGTCTCGATCTCCCGACCTTGTGATCCGCCCACCTCGGCCTCCCAAAGTGCTGGGATTACAGGCGTGAGCCACCGTGCCCAACCTGGGAATGATCTTTTATTGAATTTAGGGTGTCCATCTAAATTTCAGGTAAGGTCATCTTCAGATATCTGAAAGTCCAAATTTTATACTGTGGCATCCCATACATTTTATTTTGCCTGTTTACTTCTTCAGACAAATACTCTATGAGCTACCCTCTATTCCTGCCAAACAAAAATAAATACTTTTGTTGCCTGTGGTCTAATTTCTTTTTTTCTTTTTTTGAGACGGAGTCTCGCTCTGTCGCCCAGGCTGGAGTGCAGTGGCGTGATTTCGGCTGTCGCCCAGGCTGGAGTGCAGTGGCGTGACTTCGGCTCACTGCAATGTCTGCCTCCTGGGTTCACACCATTCTCCTGCCTCAGCCTCCCAAGTAGTTGGGACTACAGGTGCCCGCCACCACGCCTGGCTAATGTTTTGTATTTTTAGTAAACACGGGGTTTCACCGTGTTAACCAGGATGGTCTCGATCTCCTGACCTCGTGATCTGCCCACCTCGGCCTCCCAAAGTGCTGGGATTACAGGTGTGAGCCACCGCGCCCGGCCTCTTGTGGTCTAATTTCTACCTTGCTCATATAGGTCTCCCTTGGCAGGCATTGCCCTTGCCCCCCTGCCAATCCCCACCCACAATCCTTTCAAGGCCCGTCTCCAGCATGAAGTCTAATATGAATAAGCCCAACTCTGAACTTTCAATTACTTTATCTTCATTCCCATATTAGATGGAAGACATCACTATTTAGTACTTCCTACTGTTTTGTTTTGTTTTGTTTTTGAGATGGAGTCTGACTCTGTTGCCCAGGCTGGAGTGCAAATGGTGCCATCTCAGCTCACTGCAACCTCCGCCTCCCGGATTCTAGCGATTCTCTTGCCTCAGCCTCCTGAGTAGCTGGGATTACAGGCGCCCGCCACCATGTCTGGCTAATTTTTGTATTTTTAGCAGAGACAGGGTTTCACCATGCTGGCCTGGCTGATCTCCAACTCCTGACCTGAGGTGATCCGTCCACCTCAGCCTCCCAAAGTGCCGGAATTGCATGAGCCACCATGCCTGGCCCCTACTGGTATTTTTGCCATCAGCTGACTTACACCCTATAAAGGATGAAGTTGGTAATATTCAGGCACATGCGCACCTCATTTGTAAATACCCACTTCCTGCATTTCTCCAAGGGCAAGATACTACAAGGTGTAGTACTGAACACGCAGTAGGTGCTAAATAAATGCCTGCTAAATAACTGACATCTGGTGGGTAAATCTTTCCTGATCGGGTGTGTGTTAGTGTCCCCACAAATCATTTCTCCCTCTCTGCAGTCACCAACATTAACAGACCTTCACCCAGCTCTGGGAACTCAGGTACCCACCTCCCCTGTATGTAAAACTGCAAAGATGGGGAGGCAGCACCCACTTGGGTTGCTCTACACAAGCCTTAAACTCAAGGTCTTAATCTCCAGAGAAGGAATGATTTTCATGGTTAACCTAAAGTCACGTTATCCCAAAGAATAATATCCAAATTGCTCTTCTCTCAATTTGCACCTGGGCTGCATTGCTTTTGACAGTACCACATAACCCTTTCACGCATGCCAATCCTCTTTAAAAAAATCCTTCATTAGCAACATGATAGTTAGAACTTTAATATCCATTGATGAGAAAAAAAACAGAATAATCAACAGCTACTGAGACTTCATTTTGCTTTTTAAAAGAAATTCATTAGCTGCCATATCAATGATCAAAACAGTAGTAAGGGTAAGCGATTTTGCTTAGCCTGTCAACGGTGTTGAGTTTTGCTTTCAGGCTGTGCTTTCCCTGCTTCTGTGTGAAGAGGGAACCGTGAACGTCATTATAGTTGGAGATAAAGAGTGTGGACTGGGTGGGGCGCGGTGGCTCACGCCTGTAATCCCAGCACTTCTGGAGGCCGAGATGGGTGGATCACGAGGTCAGGAGATCGAGACCATCCTGGCTAACATGGTGAAACCCCATCTCTACTAAAAAATACAAAAAAAAAAAAAAACCAACAAAAAAAACACTAGCCGGGCGACGTGGTGGGCGCCTGTAGTCCCAGCTACTCGGGAGGCTGAGGCAGGAGAATGGCGTAAACCCGGGAGGTGGACCTTGCAGTGAGCTGAGATCTGGCCACTGCACTCCAGCCTGGGCGAAAGAGTGAGACTCTGTCTCAAAAAAAAAAAAAAAAAAAAAAAAAAAAAAAAGAGTGTGGACTGAACTCAGGCCGCCTGGTTCCACTTCCTAGCCCTGCCACCTTCTAGCTGTGTAGCCACGAAAAAAATTACTTAACCTATCTCTGCCTTGCTATCTAAAACTCTTACAGGTGCTGTGATTTCACATGCTAAAATGACTTCACGTATGTTAAGTACTTAGAAGCTGGAACTCTAGGCACTGTACATATGATAGCTGTTTTAAAATGTCATTGTCCATCCAGCCGGTAAGCCCCTGACAGACAGAAAGCTTATCCATGAGGTTTTCTTTGGAGGTCATCCAGCACAACAATCAGGCCATTCTAGAACTCTGCCTCTCTAAGTATGGTCTGAGGACTATCTGTTTCAGAAACACCTGAGGTTCTTGCTAAAAGCACAGGCTCCTGGGCTTCACTCAACCTAGGAGTGAGTTAGTAGTGGGAGGCTGCTTTCCCCTACTTCTCTGGTTTCTAGAAGGAGGGATTTCCTGGCATCTTGAGCCAACCTTTTCTCTCCCCCATGGGTGTGGAAGGAGTTAACTGACTAGTGACAGCTATCTGACTGGAGACAGATAACTCCTTCCACATCCATGGGGGAGAGAAAGGTGAGTTTCAGAGGGAACCAAGTTGATGTAGCCTAGCCTCTTCCTCTGTCCCTTCTTCCAGGATCCAGCATGCCAACAGATAGCCTGCATCGAACCTGTTCTTTCATGCTGTTAAATTGCATAGAGCAGACCTCCTCTCAATGAGGCTGTGGTTGCCTAACACTTCTTGGGATAGCTGAGCCAATTCCAATTTTGGAGCTAGG